ATGAACCATGTCGTTCAACTTTGCCCTAACTCTTGGTTGTTTCTTGAATCTCTACAATTGTCCAAGCAGCCTGATTTATTCTTGATAGGTTCCAGTCATTGAGAATGTGCCAAGACCTGTTATTGTTCCCAAGGGTGGGATCTCAGTCAGCTCTTAGTTTTAGGCTGATTGGGAGCCAGACTCTCAGGCTGCAGCTTTTAAAGTGTGTGAATATATACAGTCCTATGGGGTCATAATCATGAACCCTGATGCCATCCAGACCAGGAGATCCAGAAGTGTTCCCTGGGTGACTGTTACAAAAAACGGCACCAGATAAGTATATCAAGTCATTTCTGAGAGGTACTGGTGAGGTACAGTGTGACTGTGAGAAAGGACACAGGTGGTGTCCCCTGACCTACCTTCCCTAAAAGCCCATCTGTAGCCTCTATATCTGTGGCAAACCTGGAGCCTTTCCCTCAAGGTAAAGCTCTAGGAAAATAGCCTTTCTTGGAGAAAGACTAGGGTGTATTTCAGTCTGCTGTCTGTGCTGTGCCCTCGGGGTGACAGCCTGCCAAAAAATGATCTCCCTGATTGTTACAGTCCCAAGGGACTCAGAAATGCAAGCCTTCCTGGCCACCAAAGTTAGGCAATCAAGGAGAGTTCCCTGTGTGGCCAGCATGCACCTGCTGACTTTAGCAAGGTAGCTGGAGAGCAGAGGAATGAGGCACACCTGCTGGCTTTGGCAAGGCAGTGGGAGAGTGTAGGAACCACATGTTGCCCATGGCTTTAGCAGGGTAGCAGGAGAATGCAAGGGCATGGCACAGCCGCCGCCTGTAGCAGGGTAGTCAAAGATTTCAGCAACTATGTAAGCCTGCCTGGGCTAGCAAAGGAGAGTGCAAAAGTGGCACCCACCAGCACTTCCATCTGGGAGAGATTCCAAGGCAATCCATGCCCCCTTAGCTGATTCTTGAAGATGAGCAAATGGATCTCCTTCACAAACAGTCTAAGCATTTTCCAAACTGTTGCCATTGTGCTGAGCTGTAGGGCAAGTGAGTCTGTGTGTGAGCCCTTTAACAGCAGTATCTCAGTTCCCTGCAGCCCTTTGGGTATCTCCTGGATGTAGACCCATTGTTTTTCAAAGCTAGATGTTTTGGGGGCTCATCTCTCCAGTGCAGGTCCCATGGGTTAAGGGGCCTGAATGAACCCCTTTCCCCTCAGGTAGAAGTTCCCATTTTGTGAAATCCATCCTGATTGTGGGTTGCCATGCCAGTGGTGATGTTTTTGGAGAGACAGTGTCTCTGCCTCTCTTTACCTGTCTTGATGTGGCACTTTTATCTTTTATTGTGGAGGAACTGTTCAGCTAGTTTTCAGGTGTTTTTCAGAGGGAACTATTTCATATGTAGCTGTATATTCACTGTGTCCATGGGAGGAGGTGAGTTCAGGATCTTCCCATGCCACTGCATTGTATACCGCCCCCCCCAACAGTGAAGTTTCTGGTATTCTTTCCCATCATCTACATACAGAAACTTTTCTCGGTATAACGTTTCCATACCTATCAATTTAGTTGGGTGCTGATAAACAACAAGCAACTCTTAAGAAGTAACTGTGCCATTTTTGAAATAAGGCATTTTCTATTATGGGAAAATTATAGTTCAGCAATATCTTCTTGGCATGGATTTGCCACTGGTTTAAAGGATAACAGTTTGCTTTATATTATGGATGGAACAAAACTAACAGGTATTAAATATGCTCAATAAGGCAGTAGAACTGTGGTCAAAAATGGATATGAGGTTTTATAACATTTCTGGAAGGTCAAAAGCACATATAAGTAGAACTACATGAATACATATAAAGTAAGGGAGAAAATAGCTTTAGGTATTCGGGGATCTGACCTTGGCAGAATCTGGAGATTGGAGGAAAAACGCCATGATGGCTGGGGCTAAGAAGTGGGTTAAAATTCGGGTACTTAAAGTTTATAGATGGAACTTTGCCCCTAGCTCAAAACTGCAATGAATGGTCTTCCCTTAACATTTACTTACAAGCAAAAATAAATATGAATCAAGACAAATAAATGTGTGTCTCTTATCTAAAGAAATTAAACTTGGCATCTGGAATGAATCTCAGCAGTTGTGGATATCTCAGAATAAAGCCTACTGCAGTACAGAATTTGAAGATATCTTTTAGCAAGAGGGTCAACTCCCTGCCTTAGCACACAGAGTAAAATATCTCAGCCAACAAGATGCACCCACAGTCTATTTTCTCATTCTTATACATAAATATATAGAAGACCACTGGCTGTATGAATAAAGTCTACAACCCAAAAAGAGAAAATGACACGGAAATAAGACAAATTCTTTGGAAGACACAAAAGCTTACACACAAAGAAATGAAAAATCTCACCATCCCTGTATCTATTAAAGAAACTGAATCAATCATCAAAAACTTCCCCACAAAAAATAACTTCATTGGGCGCCTGGGTGGCTCAGTTGGTTAAGCGACTGCCTTCGGCTCAGGTCATGATCCTGGAGTTCCTGGATCGAGTCCCGCATCGGGCTCCCTGCTCGGCAGGGAGTCTGCTTCTCCCTCTGACCCTCCCCCTCTCATGTGCTCTCTCTCTCATAGATAAATAAAATCTTTAAAAAAAAAATAACATCATCAGATGGATTTACAATTGAATTCTCTGAAACATCTTGGAAAGAAATAATAACAATCTTCAACAATTTCTTCCAGAAAAAAAAGAGAATACTTTTCAACTTGTTTTTATGACTAGTCTAACATTGCTATCAACACTTGAGAAAGATATTTAAAAAATTACAGATGATTTTGTCATGAACAATATAAAAATCCTAAACAACATTTTAGAAAAATGAATCCAGCAATCTTAAGTAGTACAAGACATCATGACCAATACGATTTCTTTAAGGAATCCCAGAGTAGTTTCACATTCCAGAACCAATGGCTGTAGTTTACCGCATTCACACAAAGGAGAAAAATCATATGCTCAATAAACACAGAAAAACCATTTGAATATATTCAATACCTGTTCATAGCAAAAACATGAACTGGGAATAAGGAGAAATTCCTTAATTTGATTAAAAGAACCTATAAAATGTCTTATGACAAACATAATATTTAATGATAAATTATTGAAAGTTTTCCACCTGAGACAGGAAGTGAGCCAAAGTTTCTCATTATTGCCACTTCTATTAAACATTGTATTGGAAGCCCTAGTCTATGCAAAAAATAAAATAAAATTCGAAGGACTGAAAAGAGAGAAACTACCTTTGTTTGATGACACAACTGTGCACATAAAAAATGCAAAAGATTCTGAAAACTATTAATATTTATAAGTGAATTCAGCGAGGACAATGAATATATAATACACCAAAATCCATTATATTTTTATATACCAACAACAAAGAGAAAATAAAATTCAAAATGAATTCCATTTATTAAATAAGATCAAAATGTCAAATATCAGGGATGAAGTCTAATAAAAGATATACAGTTCCTCTGGATGGAACACTGCAAAATATGGTGAAAAAAGCATTCAAGAAGACTTAAATAAATGAAGGGATATATCATTTTCACACACTAGAGGACTCAATATTGTAAAGATGTTAACTGATCTACAAATTCAACACAATTCCAATCACTACCCTGGCAGGCTTCAGTGAAAATTGACAAGTCAGTTCTAAAATTTATTTGCTAAATCAATGAACCAAAACTAGCAAAGAAAGTGTGGACTAAGAAGAACAAAGATGGAGGGTTTAGATTAGCAGATCCCCAAAATTTAAACAATTGCATATATGCATACAATGGAACGTTACTCAGCTATAAAAAGGAATGACATTCTGATACCTGCTACAGCATGGATGAACCTTGAAAACATTCTGCTAGGTGAAATAATTTACACACAACGGGACAGATAGAGTATCAGTCTACTTTTATGAACTTCTAGAACAAGAACAAGCAAATTCATAGAGACAGTAGATTAGAGATTGTGTGAGTGGATAGCAGGATGTGGAGTTACTGCTTGATGATTACAGAATTTCTGTTTGGAGGGATGAAAATGTTTCGCACATAGATAATGGTCATGGTTGCACATTGTGAATGTAATACAAGATACTGAATTGTACACTTAAAAATCATGAAAATGACAAATTTTATGTTATATCCTTTTTACCACAATGTAAACAAAAATACACCCAAATCATTGAATTATACACTTTAAAATGGGCACATTGTATGGCATATGAATTATGTGTCAGTAAAGCTATTAAAAAATCATTCTTATTAAGCCAGTGTGGTAATAGCTGAAGGACAGACACAGTAAAATGGAAGAGAATAAAGAATGCAGGAGCAGATTCAGATGTATGTTCACGTGATTTATGACAACGTTGCCACAGGAGTACAGTGGGAAAAGAATTGCCTTTTGATAGACTAATGTTGTTTTCATGATATATTCATATGTGCCACTAGTTTTAAAGTATTAATTAGATAAATATTTAAAAATATTAGATTTATAAAGTATCCAAAGTAGAAAGACAAAGACTCACAAGTTACGTGACTAAGCAACTAAGTAACTAAATAAACAAAAAATACATAAAACACCTTTGCATCAATCACTCAAGTCTATAATATAAGTAAGGATAAGTAATTTTGATTTATAATACTTGAAGCAGATCATCTCCATCTTAGTTAAATACCGTCAGTATACAACTGAACGATGAAATTATTTCATCCCTTTTCCAGTCTAATTCTTTAGCATAACTCATGCAAAGTAACAATGGTATATATATTTTGTCATTTGGTCATTAATGTATTGCCATCCACCATCACCATTCTTGCCATCCATAATGAATCACGGAGCCAAATCAAATGGTCAGATTAAAAAACACACCAATCCACATACCAGTTCCCCTCCCCCAACCCCAGCAATAAAACACCCAAGAAACAAAACAAATACAAACATTGGCAACATTTAACACATGTGACGGCAGAGATAGTTAACGTCTAACCTTTATCCACTGAAGATTTGTCTGCTTGAGCTTATTTTCAAGTTTATCTTGCTCTTCTGGGCTTATGGGAGCACTTACAAGCACTGTTCCTCCAGTTTCATTTAATTGTTTTAGAATTCCCTGGCGCAGGGGCAACTCTTCCGCCAGTAACTGAAACAGACAAATGCAACAACGTTTAAAATGAATTACAGCACAATTCCAACTATCTTGTCTTTGTCTCTATTGATTAGTCTATCAAAACGAAGCAACTTGACTGAAGGCTGGCTGGTACCTCAAATACCAATGGCTTTCTACAGAGCGCAGAACTGATGGACTGGAGCACCCACTCCCAAGGAGATAAACCTCTATATTGTATCCCTGGGAGATTCTTTTCAAGAAAAAAAGAATCAGGTGGTATCATGAGCTCCAAAAATAACACCCCAAGCACTGTTAAGACTCTGAAAACACATCTCTGTCAGAAATAGAGCAATCTGGGTAAATTCATGATCCTCTCAGGTATTAAGCATCCATGCTATAATTTACTATTGAGTAAGAAATTGCAATATCATATTGAGAGCTAACTAACATTGAGACCATAACCAGGCGCTGGGTTAACCTTGTCACATATTATATAAAAATTAACTAAGATAATATAATTCTATGAGGTAGATCCTATTATCTTCCTCTTACACAGAAGGAAGCTGAGACAGAGAGATTAAATCCCGACAGGGAGGTTAAGTACCAGCTCCAAGGACACAAAAGTAGCAAGCGATGGAGCTGTGATTCCAACTTGGGCAATTGCATTAATGAACCCTATTTTGGACTCCTCCACATCCCTGCATTTCTTTTATTCATTCAGTCTTCCATTATAAATGCCCTTTCCCAAGACCTACAGAACCACCATGGTTGTTAATAACTGTCCTTTATTTATTTGTGTCATCTAGAGCTACAGTGTCCAATATAGTATCACTAGCCACATGAGGCTACTTAAGTTTAAATTAATTAAATTTCAATAACATAAAAAAGTCAGTTCCCCAGTCACACTACCTTTCAAGTACTCAAAAGGCACATACAGCTCTTGGCTACTGCAATAGACAATAAGAGCATTACCATCATTACAGAAAGTTCTTTTGGACAGTGCTGATCTAGACTGCCTAAAGAAAATAGAAAATCAATGCATATATATTAATAAGTAAGTACCACTAAACATGTCTCTTAAATGAGTTATCAATTATATTGCTATACATACACTCAATACATTTAGGAAAGATTAATTTTCAAGAACAGACTGAGTTCATTTTTCTATGACATACCCATCTTCAAATGAACTATAGATTCAAAACTTGGTGGTTTTTGTTTTTTTTTTGTTTTTTTGCCATATCAGACATAGAGTAGGTACGCAATATTTGTTTACTGAACTAAGCATTAATTTTATTTTTATACTTTATCCTCTGTTCAGGTATAAATTTCTTGTTTCACAGAAATAAGTGGTTGACATTGGAGTCTAATTTGCATGTACAAACCAACTGAATCATTGATAAAGGAGTAATTCCATTTCCCTTTGATTGTATGACCTTGTAAAATGAGGATAACAGCAACCATTTTGAAAGTTTTATACGAAGATTAAATAAATAGCAGATGTAAGTACATCTAATACTTAGCACATAATAGAGGGCGATTAAATGTTAATTTCCCCTTCCTTTTCACCTTCGTTTCAAGAATTATAGTAAAACAGATCCAAATAAGTTTCTTTCCTAAAACTAAAACCAGGAAAGGTAATCCAACTACACAATCAGTGCATGTCAGTCAGCCAGGTGAGGTAATCAGTAATAAGCAGACATCGCAGTAGGAAGGCATGAAAAGCCACTTGAATAGGCTGGATGTCCATTCAACCAGTATAGAATGTAAAGCAACACCACGCACCCCCAACCACTCCCAGACAAAACAAACACTGTTTCAGGCAAATCGAACACCTCTAATTAGAGGCTGAAATAGTGAGATTGATTTGGCAATTAAGATCCTTCCTAAGAAATGGGATTCATTTCTATAAACTCCCTCCAGGTTTTGAAATAGTTTGGAGTTGTAAAATTCTCCAATATGTCTAAGATCAATTTCAAATTAGTTTTCAAAATACTGCCATGCATTTTACACACACACACACACACACTTTTTACAAAAAAATATACTTGCTGGGAAACACTGGGTTAAAACAACATAAAGTTTTTTTTTTTTTTTTTAAAGATTTTATTTATTTATTTGACAGAGAGAGAGCACAAGTAAGCAGAGTGACAGGCAGATGGAGAGGGAGAAACAGGCTCTCCGCTGAGCAGGGAGCCGGATGTGGGGCTCAATCCCAAGACCCCAGGATCATGACCTGAGTCGAAAGCAGCCGCTCAACAGACTGAGCCACCCAGGCGCCCCAAAACAATATAAAGTTTTGAGGAAATCTAGTGATGAACTATCAATAACTTAATGGAAATCAAAGATTAAATACCTTAAAAAATAGATTCATATACTCTTTATACAAGTAGGCCCTGGGGGTTTTTAGAAAACAAAATTACCTTGACTTGTTCAAGTTTTTCTTTTAGCTGCTGCTCATTTCCAGGTTCAAGTGGAATACTAGCAACGTTATCCACTTCCTCCAACCATAAAACAAATTCATCTACATCTCTTTGAAATTCTGACAAGATATTCTTTTGTTCCTCTAGCCTGGAGAAATAAGAATAAAACTGTTATAAACAACATATTTCTCAGACTTTTCTTTCTTCCTTTTATTTTTTTTTAAGAAAACTCAGAAACAAACAAAAAAACTGCGGTTAACACTTTGAAGAAAATAAAAAATTTAAAAGATGTTAACAATACACAATTTTTTAAAGAAAATTCATTTACTTCGAACAGAGCAACCTCAATATCTCCAAAACTTCTTCAATGTAAGAGGTTAAAACTGGTAAAGAAAAAAACTTCTAATTTTAAAATTCCAACATTATGTTATTAAATGAGAGCAGCGTTTTTCAACCTCAGCGCTGCTGACATTTCGGGGTTAATAACTCTTATTTGTGAGGGGCTGTTCTCTGCTTTGTAGGAGGTTTAGCAGGGCCTTTCCCCATTCGATGCCAGTAGCATATCCCCCCCTCAACTGTGACAAGCAAAAATGTTTTAAAGCACTACCAAATATCCCCTTGGGAGCAAAACTGCCCTGGGGTGAGAGCCACCACACTAGAATAAGTACACAGTATGAAGTTGAATGCTCTAAAATGCTTAAATAAAATACACCCTTCTGGGAAATTGCAGGGTAAAAGTAAAAGCAAGGGAATAAAAAAAACACTAAGTTTTTACATGTTAAAATGTTTTCCGAATTATGATTCGCAGTCTTTCTTGAGGAAAGAGGAAAACTGAGTTAAAATACATCACATATGTTGTACTAGTGGAAGTTTTCACTTATAAAAACATATATACTGTATGTTTTTCAATTAGCCATAAATTTATTCTTAACATATTGAATCATAACACAGTTGAACAAAATGGTCTGCACCTCATGTAATTTATAATGTTTTGTTTTGTTGTTTTTTGAGAGAGATATATCTCCTGTATGTAAGCTTTTAATTGAATACACACACACACGCGCATACACACACAGACATACATATACGTAGGTGTACTTTTCTACATATATATATGTAGGAAAGTATGTATGTAAGCTTTCAATTGAATATACATACACATACATAAGTACAAAGCTTATATATATACATATGTACACACATACATATATATATATATACACAACACACATTATATATTCACACATGAATATATGTATATATAGGAAAGTACAACTATGACTGCTGTGTAGCTCCAGATATTTTTTTTTTTAAGATTTTATTTATTTATTTGACAGAGACACAGCGAGAGAGGGAACACAAGCAGGGGGAGTGGGAGAGGGAGAAGCAGGCTTCCCGCTGAGCAGAGCAGGGAGCCTGATGCGGGACTCAATTCCAGGACCCTGGGATCATCACCTGAACCAAAGGCAGAGACTTAATGACTGAGCCACCCAGGCGCCAGCTCAAGATATTTTTAAAAAGTGTACAAATGACCAGAAAAAACAGAATGTTATCAGAAGCCCAGAGGCCCCTCTGGTCCCTTGCAGTCACTACCTCCATATAACCAGTATCCTGTCAACTTCGATTATGTTGCCTATATTGAACACTGAGTATATGGAATGATATGCTATATACTCTTGTGTGTCTTGTCTCTTTCACTCAACATAATGTTTACAATAATCAACCATGTGGTATATAGCTTAATTTGTTTAATCTCCTGGCTGTAGAGTATTGAATTGTTTAAATATATATCTCTGTTGATGGATATTTGGGTTGTTTCCATTTTGGGGATGTTTAGATGTTTTTTTGGTTTCAGTTTAACAAATATTTATCAGGGGCTAACTTCCAGCAAGGCTACTGGGATTAGTATTAAAGATAGATATGTTGTGTGCCCTGCTTTGATGATCTCACAGTCCATGAGAGGAAACAAGAGATCCCCATGTGTAGGAACAAGACACAGCCTGTCTCATTTATAGCCTGTGCAAAGACAGGGTGTTGAAAGAACTACTAGTACAGTCTTTCCCCACACCAGGTCCATTTATTGAATTTATGCTTGCCTATATTCAGTTTTGCTCTTTGATGAGAGTTTATCCAAAGTCTGTTCTAGGGCATGTGAGGAGACATTCTCTTCTCTGTCTATTCTTAACAAAGCAGATCCTATGAAAACTCAAGTCATATTCCAGGATCCTATGGAAACCTAAGTCATATTATGTCACTGTTGCAGTAAAAACTCTTGTATTGCTTTCCAATTTATTCACAGCAAAGCCAAAGTCATTATAGTGTTCTGTGAGGGTCTAGATCTGTGCTGTCCAATATAGTAGATACCTTCCCATGTGGCTACTAAGCACCTGAAATGCTGTAAGGGGAATTGAGATGTGCTTTAAGTGTACAATATACACCAGATTTCAAAGACTTAGTACAAAAAAATTGTTCTATCTCTGAACCTTCTACTCAAGTTTGCTGAGGACCTACAAGTGCTGTAAAACAGAAAACTCTTTTATTTTTTAAAGATTTTATTTATTTATTTGAGAGATAAGGAGAATGAGAGAGAGAGAGAGAGCATGAGGAGGGGAGGGTCAGAGGGAGAAGCAGACTCCCCGCTGAGCAGGGAGCCTGATGCGGGACTCGATCCTGGGACTCCAGGATCATGAGCTGAGCCGAAGGCAGTTGTTTAACTAACTGAGGCACCCAGGTGCCCCCAGAAAACTATTTTAAAAAAAGAATGGGAAACTTCTCATTAATACTTTTTTTCATTAATACTTTCTATATGATGTACAGGTTGAAATAATATGTTTAATATATTGGGTTAAGTGAAATATATTCATTTCATCTGTTCCCACATTTTAAAAGATGTGGCAACTATATAAATTTCAATTACACATGTGGCTCACCTTATTTTTCTATTGACCAGCACTGATCTAGGAAATCTGCTGAGCCCCAATCTCCTTACTTCTCTGACCTCATTTCCATCTACTCTGTATTTCTCTTATCTTTCTTGAGACCCGCTGGCTTCCTTGCTGTGCTCCTCAAATATACTACATGGGTCCCCGCTTCTGAGTCTCTGTACTTGCTGTATTTTTCTGCTGACAATGTCCTTCCCTCAAATATTAAACATGGCTGGCTCCCTCACCTTCTGCAGGTCTTCCCTGATGAACCTACCGAAAATTACATTTCTCCTCCCAAATGTCTATTCTTTCTCTCTGTTTTTATCTTTCTAGTTCCTAAATGTAACAAACACTATAATTTGGTTATTTTATAGGACGTCTGTCTCTCATACATGAAATTAAACTTCCTGACATCACAGATTTTTATTTATTGCTGTAACCCTTGCTCCTGGAACAATGCTTGGCACAGATTAGATGCTAAATCAGTAACTGTTGCATTAACGAATGAATTCTGCCATCATTCTTTTCCATTTTACATGCATTCCTATTTTAAAAGAATCCTTCCTATTCTTTATAATACCAATAGGTGACGGGGACTAAAAAGTACACCTGTCCTGATGAGCACCGGGTGATGTATGGAAGTGTTGAATCACTATACTGTACACCTGATACTAATATTACACTGGGTGTTAACTAATTAGAATTTAAATAAAAACTTAAAAAAAGAATCTTTCCCGTTCTTTGTAATACTGATTCTGAAACATGGTCTAATTTACCCGCCAATGTGCATGACAATATTTCACCAAACTGAAGACACCTTCAGTTGCAGGTCATATAAGACCATCCTAAGTTCTGCCAGGCATGAATTGGAAAAGTCATGGTGCTGATTAAACTATGACGTTTTTTGTTTGAAGGCTTTCCTTCAATTAAGACGTTGTTCTTTTAGATTTCTTTATATTTTTGTCATATATTTCTCTTGTATACACATGAAAAGTAAAATATAAGTGAGAAATTGATGAGGTAGTCCTAAAACTTTCTCATATTTAGAACTTCCCTCTCCTATATCACTTTTCCCCTCAGAGTAATTGACCTCTGTCTTTACCCACAGCCTATCAGAGGATGATTTCTTAAGAAGGCTCCACCACTGTTTCTTGGATTTTCTTCCAAACCACATGTGGTCTGGCCAGTAGAGATTGTAAAACCCATCCTGGTTTCAGTGATTTTAATGTGATAAAACACGCAGGTTAGAATGGATGAAATTGACATTGGGGAGGGTATGTGCTATGGTGAGCGCTGTGAATTGTGTAAGACTGTTGAATCACAGACCTGTACCTCTGAAACAAATAATACATTATATGTTTAAAAAAAAAAAAAAGAAGAAGAGAGCAGGAAGGGAAAAATGAAGGAGGGGAAATCGGAGGGGGAGACGAACCATGAGAGACTATGGACTCTGAGAAACAAAGTGAGGGTTCTAGAGGGGAGGGGGTGGGGGAATGGGTTAGCCTGGTCATGGGTATTAAGGAGGGCACGTACTGAATGGAGCACTGGGTGTTATATACAAACAATGAATCATGGAACACTACATCAAAAACTAATGATGGGATGTATGGTGATTAACATAATAAAAAAAACAGAACAAGAATTAATAACATGGGACTGAATAAAGTGAGGAATATGGGGAAAAAAAAAAAGAATGGATGAAATTTAGTTCATTTGCACAGCTTCCCAGGGCTGACATAGTGACTCAGGTTCTTTTGGCTGCTACCAAGTGGCTGGTTGGTTCAGGATTTTTAAAAAAATTCATAATATAATAACAGTTTACTGTTATCTTTAACTTATAATTATGAATGGATATTATTATCGGCATTATCTGCCTGCTGCTTGAGCTTATTTTCCATTAAGAGAGTCAATAAAGATTTGGCATTACTTTCCATGGGAATTAACATTTGATTACATGAGTTTTTTTTTTTTTTTTTAAGATTTTATTTATTTATTTGACAGAGAGAGAGATAGCGAGAGCAGGAACACAAGCAGGGGGAGTGGGAGAGGGAGAAGCAGGCTTCCCACGGAGCGGGGAGCCCGATGCAGGGCTCGATCCCAGAACCCTGGGATCATGACCTGAGCCGAAGGCAGACGCTTAACGACTGAGCCACCCAGGCGCCCCTGATTACATGAGTTTTTGCCAAAGATGAATATTTTGGCCCCTCTCATACATGAAAAGTAA